TGCTATAAACAAGAATAATCAGACTATGTGATTAGCTGTTTTTGGAAAGTGAAAAAAAGGCCTAAGCCCTTAGAGAGTTTCTGGTTCTAGCTATTTCATGGACAGCTAGAGGTGAAAAAATTAAAGGTTATCTGAACCAGTAGATGGGAATAAATCAGTATTAATAGACAGAAAGCGCTCTTGCATCACTATGAGTTTTGTTTCAAAAGACTTTCAAGATTTTTGGTTTCTCTTATTCATTTTCAATTGGCAAGTGGTTTTCAGTTGAATCTGGCACTATTGTTTCAAAAGACTTTCAAGATTTTTTGTGTCTTTTTAAGCTACAGACCCTCCTAATAGATGGACTTGTTTTCTGCGGTGGACACTGGTATACAGCTTATCTCCTTCAAGTTATTAATAACCTCTTTGTTTCCTATCCAAAATAAAGTATAATTACTCAATGACCAAGTACAATAATACTACTGCTTTTAATATTATCATGAAATCATTAAAGAAGCTGAATTTTTATAAATTACGTACAGACATTTAACGAAAACAAGCCGTGATATTTTTCTCCAATCATCCAATAAATTTTGCCAGATATGCCAAATATATTAAATAAAATGTAAAAGCAACACTAATTTCCAGGTATTCAAATTTGTGGAAGAATTAAATATTGATTTCTAACGGCACCTGTGCTAGCTTGCGGCTTGTGTATCCCAATAAGCTTGTAAATTTTCCCTTCCCAGAAACAACATTCATGTCTTCTGGGTCAACAAAACCAACATAATGCATCACACCAAAAGAGGGGACAAAGTACTTTCAGACATACACGATAACAGTCGGATGATTAAGTATGAGCTGGATTTACGGCATATGGTTAATCAACTACTACTGCATTATTTACATTATGTAGAAAATTCATTCTCTCTTTTTCCAGATGCCAATAACAATGAGATTAGCACACCCTTAATATTCTCTTTTGAATCATATCAATGGCATGCCAAAATTTTCTGCACCCAATTTACAAGTTTTCATACAGCACTAAATCAAATACTAAGTCTCCTCTGGCCCTCCAGATATCATCATTTCATGGTCTGTCCCCAACTCATATTATTATAATATATATATTTTTTTTATTTTAAAGTTGTCCCCAATATTACTAAAGCTTGATAGATATAATGGACAAATAGGAATATAAAATTCTTTTCTTTTCTTTTCTTTTCTTCTTTAATAAATAACACAATACAAGAAAATGTCAATTAGTAACTTACAACAGAATTCACATTAACTGTTCGACTTGGAGATCCTCTAATAAGGGATGGCAAAGGAAAACTGAAAGCACGCTGGAGCCAGATGATTCACTTGCATGTGCTCTTCATGCCCTTCTTTTGAAATTTTTTGTGGTTCTGGACACAGCAAAGTCAAAGCAAACACAAATGATACTAAATGTTGTATATAAACACTATGGAGCTAAACATCTTGTTATTGCATAGCTTATATGGTTTCCAAAAAAAGATAACACCTAAATTGTTCGTAATACCTAAGAAGCCTGCAAAACAACAACAATTTACAACAGCAAGATTGTGAGGAAAAGATAGTAGCACTACAATGAGAAATTGAAAATAAGTAATAATAAACATAAGTCTGCACTGAAGAGAGGGGAAAATATTCTGATGATGTGGATACAAGGATTATGGAGTAAGGGTCATTACATAAATCAATTAAATTCCAGCTACAAGAAACAATAGTGGCAAGGGTGAGAGAGAAATAGTCAAACTTTATTAAGATACAGGATATTATTTTGGGGCAAAAACTTCTGTATAAATGGCGAAGCCTCTATGTTCATTTCTTTTAAATTAAATAATAACAAGTTAATAGTACTCAATTTCATTTTCATGATTCTCCAATAAAAGCCTAAAAGTAGATCACTCATGGCATCACAACCTAATGATTAAAATAAAGAAGTAAACACAAAACATGTAAAATTACACGACAGAGGAAAATTTATTCATCATGTAAATTATAACAAGAAAATCAAAGCTTCAATATGGTTTATGAATCAAAAGCAAACTTTTGATTTCAGATCAACATGAAGTAAATGACTCACACTAGATGGCCAGCTTTGGTAGACATCAAACTGAGTTGGAAGTATTTGATAATATTGTCAAGAAAGGAGAAGATAGAATTTGTATGTTCAAAACACACCTAGACACACTTTGAGTGTAAATCAAGCGAGGAATATATGGAATGCCAAGATGCAGTCCAAGAAGAAAAGGCCCATATCAAGCAGAGTATGTAACCGACCTTCTATGCCCCAATACTCTCTTTCATTCTGATGAAAAAACATAGTGAATAAAAAAACTATTGTCGTCAGCAAGTGCATTTTTAAAAAGGAAGAAAACTATCAATCCAATTTAAAGTTCATGATATGCATCCTCAAGACTTTTAACACAACACTAATATCAATTAAGCTTAAAGTACTCAAAATTCATCATGCTGAATTTTTCAACCGATCTTCTAATGCAACTATCACATCATTGTATCTTTATTCACAGCATCATAGTTTGACTACTAAAGTAAAGAGTTAATAAAGACCAACACATTACACTTTAGTTCTTGGCAGTCAATAAACATTTTTAGATCAAAATACATTTTCATAAGACAAGCACAACCTAAAATGTTTTGACATTACAGATCCCGCTTAACCTCCAAATAAAGCATGCCAAAAGCGAACATATTACTAAGCTATGAATAATAATGATAGTCTGAGCAAACCAGAAAGTTATAACACGATATAATAAAAACCCATATAGCATCAAGATGGAACATCAAGAAGGAAGTAGTATTACACTATTGAATGATTGAGAAACACAAACCTCCATGGAAAAAATTCCAGCATTATGATAAGAACATACAAAGGCCCTAAACGTGCATTCCAGCATCAGCAAATCTCACAACAGAGTCCAAGAGAGTAGATCAAGCTCCATCACCTTGAGGAGACATATATCATGTCAACTATCTTTAAATGAATTGTTAAAATGATAACAATGTAATACCTAGAAAAGAATTATCACAGCCAGCAGTATGGACACAAATCTGAAAACCATCTATTGTCCTAAAGGATGCATTTAAAAGTCACAAGCAATTGTGTCTATATGTAATGGTTTGCTTAAACAAACAAAACTTTATTTGGATCAACTGGACGGCGTCTTGAACAATACTTGATTATGGATTTTTCTAATAAGCATTTTTTAATCTGTGTGAAGTGCTTAAGCAATATTTTGATAAATATTTCTTCAAAAGGATTCTAGGTGCTTTTATCGAAATAAATTTTACTCTAGACCACTTCCGCAAAAGCACTCCCAAAATGCATCTCAGGGTGGTCAACAAATGAACCAAAAAAGAAAAACATAGAATGCCTTCGTGTGCTATGTTTCAACTAAAGACACTTGTAGAAAAAATTAACAAATTTGGCATGAAATAAAGCCCCAATCATTATAATTTAGGAGTACCTCAATATTGAGAGGAGGCCTCTTCCAGTCCATTCCTCCTGCCTTTCTGGATCAACTCCTGAGCTGCCTTCCATTTTCTCACTGCCATAACAACATGAGCCCCTGATTCCGCCAATTGCCCATTCATTAAGAATCACAAGCCCATTCCTAATTTAAGCAAAAGAGTAAACTTCATATACCTCTCTAAAATCATTAAAATCAACATACCGGGCGATTTCTTGGCCAATACCGCTGGTGGATCCAGTGACAATGCAAGTGAGATCATTAACAGGAGGCAAGGCAAGGGGTTCTGCAAATGACTGCCAAGATTCTTTGAAAGAGCATCTCTGAATCACGTAGCACCATCCTCTAAGCCATTCATCCACCCCCACGCCTCCTTCTTCTTCTTGTTCGAAGAAGAAGAAGAAGAAGAAGACGCCGTTTCCATCTCGCTCTCTGTTGGGACTTCACTTAACCAATCAGAATCTGGTCTCAGTAACAAACGCACTCTAAAGGGCAGCCACCGTCTGCTGCCTCACACTCCGTTAAAGCCAGCCGTCGCCACGCCACTTTTCAATTTGTAAAATTGGTCATAGATATCACAATTGAAACAAGTGTAATAATCTTAGGGGTGGAGCGCCCAATCGTTAAAATAAGGTTATTTAGAAAACGTATGTTATTATTTTCTGTAATTTTTATTAAGAGTCTTGGTAGGAGAAATGGTATTCTTGAACTAATTCAAGATGATTTTGAAAAGAATTATACCTAGAAAACGAGCTGACATTATTTGATTTTGGAAGTTGTTATCAGATGCCTCGAAAAGGACTTTGCCAATCCGAACTCCGAAGTCACCAACATCAACATGTGTTGTCATATCATCATCAACATTGAAGATAAGTGTAACTTTTCCTTGAAGTTTTTCACACATATGTAAAACAAAGAACTGAAAGAAGAATAACTTCTACTTGTTAGTTTGTAGTAGATGCTTTTTAGAAGCTTTTTTGTGCGGTAAAGTTACGTCATGCTCTTTAGAAGCTTTTTAGTGCAGTAAAACTTAATCTATAATCTTCATAACACTACAGATATTGAAAGTTGTACCAAAATTTTATACCGGTTTACGTATAAATGCGTCTAAATTTTTTTCTAGTAAACGGCCATCCATCAAATTTGGATGACCGTTCACATCATAAACGTTCATTCATATACAAGGTACGAGCGTCTCTATTTAAATTGAACGATCATCATTTATATGGACGTCCTCCATATCAAAAGACGCGTCCCCATTTAAAAGAACGCACATCCATAAATAAATATAATAAAAAATTTCAAAATATATAAACGGTCAGTCATAGGTTGTGGACACCGTCCCTTAATTTTGGACGGACGTCCACAAATAAGTTGCCCGTCCATACTTTTAATATAAAAAAAAAAAATTAAACAAAAACCCATTCTCCTTGTTGCAAACATCTTCGTCTTTCATTCCCCATCTCCTCTCTTTTTCCTTCGTCTTCATTACTAGTAATTATGATGGTGATTATGTTGAAGAGGATCCACAAATCAGAGACAAAAGAGAAGCTTACGTCCAGAGTTGGGAGAACCGTGATTTTACGGTGTCAGCCTTACAAGCTTCCGCTGACTGAACTTCTGTTGCCACAAAAATATCGCCTGCTGAATTTTTCCGACTATGGCCCAGTTATCCTCTATAGTAGGTACACTGGTACATATATTTATGAAGGAAGTGGGTTCAGGGCTACTACTGCACAGCAGTATGGGACTCTCCTTTTTCAGTGGACTAAAATCCTTGTCCTCCAAACCTTTCCACAGAGTGTGTTCACACATCATCCGTGCAGTTGCAGGTTTTCAGGTAATTCTTGTACGATGTTGTTATTGTCATGCCTTTTCAGGCTACCCTTGTGACATTACCATTTAATTCCTCAACTTTGAACAGCTTTGTTATGCGGCCAAAACTTGGTAAGTGGCTTCTTGGGCCATGATGGTTTTTGGGAGCCAATGACGTAAGTAGAAATGTGACCTGGGTGATGAGACCACGACCATGCTGTGCAATTTGTGGTTCGAGCATCTGATGCATCAATCACTAAGGATTGGATCAGATCTACAGGTTGGTTAGATGACCTTACTAATGGGAAGTGGAGTACATGCCTGAAGAGTGAGTGAAGCGTTGCTGCCGAGAGGCTTAAGATCTTAAGGAACGGATAGCTTGCTAAGGCCGCCCAAACCGAAAAAGACACTAAACCTGATAAGAAGGAGAAAATGGGAGGAAAAGAGAAATGATGATAAAAAGAAAGAAGAACGGTGAGGAAGATGGTAAAACCAAGGCACCCTCGACTCTGTCCAAGTTAACAGCTAGAGGTCTGAGCACTTGCCCTTCAAGCGGCCGTTCTTCAGAGTGGCACATGCTGTGTAAAGATGAAGCCAAAGATTAATTATTTATTATTCTTTTCAACGCAAGAAGGGTTTGGATATATTCTTTGTACTCAAATGCTGTGTATTTGGGTCAAGGACGCCGGTCCACAATTTGTGGACGGCGTCCAAATTTTTTATTTTATTTTTTAAAACAAATTAACTTTGGACGGGGTCTATAAGGAATGGACACTCGTCCAAACTTAGGACGGGCGTCCCGTTTTGTGGACGCCCGTCCAAAATTAAGGAACGGCCGTCCACATCTATGAACGGCTGTCCATAATATTTTACAAATTTTTTTATTGTATTTTATTTATGGACGGCGCGCCTTTAAATGGGGACGCCCGGTCCCTTATATATGGACGTCCTCCATACAATATGGACGGATGTCCATGTGAGTGAACGGCCGTCCAAATTTGATGGACGGCCGTTCACTAGAAAAAATTGGTAAACAAATCTTCAAACGCGCATTACACTCGGCCGGTACAGAATTTCGTGCAACTTTTTTTCGGTGTCCTGTAGTGTTATTGTATAATCTTTTCCTGGTAGATTTCATTTTGTAATACAAAACAAAGAACGTGATAGAAGAATACTTCTACTTTGTAGCCAGGATGCTTTTTAGAAGCTTTTTTAAGTGGAGTAACGTTAGGTCCACAACTAATCTCTAATTTTTTTCACAATTTTTAACGTGACATTTTTAGTGATCGTTGATAAAATTGGTTCCTGTCTACTATTTTTTACAAGCTAGTTAATGACGAGTTTCACGTCCATGTGTTGTAAGATAGGTTGTAAACCTAACACTACTCTTTCTAAAGCATACAGTAAAGTAGTTGTGAGATACCCTAACAAAAGCTTATCATTTTCGACGATGGAAATATTGGCTCTTAGGCTTGCATATCCTTCTTGGGTACTTCCCCCTCACCATTTTTTTTTTTTTTTTTTTAATGATTGGAAGGGTTGGATCAGCTTACTAAGCCTCAACTATTTTCTCGAGACCCTAGAATTATCGGCCAGATAAAAAGCTTCAGGAGACATGTAAACTAGATCCTCCTTTGCTTTTTTAGGCATCAGGCATTATGTATGGTTAACCATCACATTTCTTACATTAAGAGTGAGATACTTTGAGAGATAAAAATTGCTAAAAATTTACAGAATAAGACAGGCAAATTGTATTCCGAGAAAGATCTATTCTTCTCTACACCTCTTAAAACTTTCCAAAGATTGAGGTTGTCCTTCAAATGTGTTTACTCCCAATCCACCTCTCCAAACTAGTAAAACTAAGCAAGGTTTCCGGGCATTTCTCCAGATCATTGTTATTCGAACATATCCAACTCAAGAAGATTTTTCACGTTTACCCACTTCAATTGGTGTGAATCAGTTAAAAGATATTAAACAGTCCAATTAAATTGAAAGGAGGAAGACCAAAACTTCTGTGGGTATGGTAACCATTTGAGATTATTATATATAATTCAGTACTTGCCATTTTGGTCAATTCCTAAAACTCAGATGAATGCTTCGCTCAATTTAACGTCCTCCCATAAAAGCCTTGTTCAATACTATGCATATTACCAATGGAGACATGAAATTTGAACCTAAAACTGTTTGGCATTCAATGCATTCTTCCGGATTCTAGGCCTCACATACTTTAGGAATACTACATTACAGAAGTTTTTCTTCCATCGTAACGATTAAGTTCCAGGTTTCCAACTCAGTGTAAGAATTCCTACTCGTGTGGCAGGCACATCCGTGCTGAACCATTTTTATCCACGCAAGAATCTCAGCTTGGAAGCATTTGAAATAAAGAGAAATGTTTCGTACAATATATACTTGCAATGCAAATCTACTTCAAGATTAAGGAGACGTGAGACCAATATCCGAGGGCAGTACAGTGCAGCGTTTAAGTCGCGGTGAAATCACCTGATGACGTAGATTATACATCAAAAAGGATGTACCACACCGATTATTAATCAGCGAGTGTAGCCTTAATTTCAGGCTTGATAGATTTTAATTCCTTGGTAAGTCTTCCAAGCCGGTCTGCATCTGCACATGAAAGTTGGTAATACATCAATACTTTTAAGTTCGTACAGGCAATAAATTTCATTTGGAATATTCTCCAGTCCGCAAGTTTACTGTAAGGCAGGTTCGGAACCTTACAGAAAATCATTTATGGGAGATTCAGTTCGGCGCTGGGTTAAATTCAAATCTGCTGTCTCCGGAATATACCCCGGCGCCATAACGTGTGTTGTCAAACGCTCAAATATCAAGGTCCGAACACGCTAACCCAGACGCCATTGTTCGCGTTGGTACAACTTTGACAAATGCACCACAGCCAATGGATCCGAAAATCAGCTGCCAATGGTGGGCCTTGTGAATCTCCATGCCGATCTGAGCTCAGGAACTCATTTTACATATTGTCTACTCCGACGCCGGTTTGGTGAAGTGCAACCATACCGGCTCCGGCTTTTTGGCATTGGCTGCCGTTCTCCGCAGTCAAGTTTAATACTGTGAGTCTCATCATTGACTGCATGTACACCAGCCATTCCCAAAGCAGAAATGGTAGAAGCACTCAGGAGCTGTGACGTGAAATGATGTTTCAGTTAGTTGATTTCTTGAAATCAAATAAGCAATTTCACCGCGTCGGCTGAATTGATCGATCATCCAAAACCAAAGAAGCTACAAGGAACAAAAACCCAATATCCACTTCCCGGCTATATCATTACTTCCCGGGGTGTGTAAACATGCAAAAAAAAGTACGTCAATATGTACAACCACAAATTTCAATTCAAGCCAGACCATCATAATCAGACAATTAAGTTATGCATTATAATTGTCCTCCAGGTTAGGTTATGTATCTTGTAGTATTCTCCATTCACATTTGTTAACTACTAGAAGTCAGAAGACTTTTCATCGAGTGATACTGGTCTGCCTGTTATAATTCAAAATTTTGCCCTTTTATTCACCTTATCCTGCGAATGATCTGTTTTTTTGACTTATCAATTTATCCCGTAACTATGAAAAGGTTTTATTAAAAAATTCTAAAACTTTTAAAATACAATCAAACAATATAAAAGATATTCAAAAGCTGATAAATTTAAATCAACTTTTTGCCGATATACAACAGTCTCAACATCTCCAATTTGGTAGCCCCATGGGTACACAGACATGCAATTGTAGTCTAAAATTTAGCATTGGAAATTTGAGGCCTCTAGACGTGTTTCTTGTAAACCCAATTAAAACCACTGTGTTCAATAATTCAATTATAGTATTATTTGCTATTAAATCCTTATAAGTCTTCTTCTCTATCAGTTTCCTTGTGAATAAATAAAAACCAACCGGTGTTTGGATTTGAAAATATCTCTTTATCACCTATAAAATATTGAAGTGTTTTTGAACTTCAAATTAGGCACGGTGAGAAGATGGTACATGAGTTGAAATACCATATGTAAATATTAGATATAGAATGATTAGTATTCTAATATATTATTTATAGTATTTTTAGAACATAGTCCTTTTTTTTTTTTTTTTGTTTTTTTTTTATTTTTTTTTTTGTTTCTCTAGACACACCATATCCATGTTGACTATTTCGTACAATATAGAATCATGACTTAGAACATTTAAATTATTAAACACTCGCATAATGACATTACGATCAATAATTTTTTACATATCATGACTATGACGACTAAAAATTAACCATTATTAGAGTAGTAACCCAGTGTTCTGGCAACCCGACTGGGTGCCCTGGCCAAGGGTCGGGTCCTAGGTGTATTGGTCCAATCCGTTAAACAGGCGGTCTACAGGTGATCCAACAGTTTGAAACTCTAGCAAACATCCCCTGATAACTATATCAATCCTGCAAGTTGTAAACATCCAGCAAACACAACCAGGATATGATCGCATAGTAGGGTGTTCACTTTTCTAGCCCATGCTGCTCATTCTAGTGGCCAAAATTTCAATTCGACACCACCACTGACACCAACCTCTATATTGTGGAAACCCCCTCTAACCCCAACACTTGATAGCCCCCCTTCATCGACCGTGACTCGGTAACCCGCCGCGATTAGGTTTGATTTTTCCAGCAAATTTTTTTTGTTTTGGCTTCCCAGAAATTCACTTGACTCACCACCTAACCACCCCGACCTCCCTTTACAAACTCCTCGAACCCTAAACTTTGTACCCCTCTCAACCGCTCGTGACTCGCGAACTCGTCACAATTGGGCTATTTTTCCACTCAGATTCTGGTTTCACTGACACAAAGGCGTGGGTGGCAGTCAGGTTAGGGTGGGCTCATGGAAAGGTGCAAGGGCACCGAAAAATGTCCAGAGTTGTCAGCGGTCATGTTTTGGGTATGTTAAAAAGGTAGAAAATGTAACTGCCCAGAGAAGGCCCCAGTTTTTGGTTCCAACATGTAACCTGCCCAAGCCGAGCTGAGTTTAAATATGG